TGGCCTCTATGTCCACGAGCGCGTGTATAAAACTAACTACTTGATTAATTTTGATGCACTTTAAATGACAGAAAAAAAAAAGAATTCGATTATTCACCTGCCATGATTCACTCTAGCTACTTTTGAATGTTGCTGTAGGAAACTGCGATTCACGATTTTCTATGGTTGCGGTAGATATCGTTTTTCGATTATGATCGTCGATAGAGATTGACCTACCAACGTCGTCAATGCCGCGCTGCTTTTATTCACCAAAGGGAATCAAAAGTGAGTGAGTCAAAAGAAAGAGATTCGTTAACAAGTTCTCACAACTTTTTAAACCTTAAATTCCCAAGAGTGACCAAGAAAGAATTTCTCCTTACAATATCAATACAAGTTCAAGCAGACAAGTGATGAGAATACAGAAAATACAAGTATTTAATAGGGAATTATTTGCTGATCCAATACCAAACTCCCCAAAGTAACATCATAAGGATTGTATGGCAGACAGTAAGGAGAATTGTAGAGAGATCATGGAAGTGAAAGGATCAAAGAAAGGACGCTGCTCTTTACTTCACCAAAATACAAATCCGATACCTTTGACGCTGCTCACAAGGTTTTCAAAGGAGTGTTAATTTTAGGCGTATACAGGGCCCCTCTGGAAAACAGCCTCGTAACTGAGTGGACCACCCTGTTTTAAATAACGTTCACTTTCACTTTTTAATTTGTTTCTAATCAAAATCGACGATGAGCATCGCTTGTATGGTCAAACCACAACTGAAACTTACAACAACGTTTCATCTTCGTACCATAATGTAATTGTTAGCACTGACATAGTCCTTGTGAGGGCAAGTGTGGAAGGCATCGAAACTAAGCTAAGCTGTCAAATGAAGGCGGCCTTCGAAGTTCTGGCTATGTCATTTGAACTGAACACCAATCTGTAACAAACCCAATGGATAGAAAATGTAATAATACTAGAAAATGAAATCATAGTGGAATGATAATCTCTTATTCGATTGTTTACCGTACGATACGAGGGAACATTTAACTTATTGCTCAGTCCCATATTTCCGCGCCCCCACGGAGCTCGGAAAAATGCAATAAAAATATCGGCGCGCTAAATAAGCTGTATTTATTTCGTTATCCAAGTTCTGAAATATAATTCATTTAGAAAATAAGAGAATTATTAGTTTCGATTTGAATTCATGTAAATTCATCAAAATTATCCGGTCATCCGTGTGGGGAAAGGAATGTTGCTGAACACCAGATGTCAGTTTTCACCATTGGCCGTTTTTAAATTAAAGACGCATTACCCGTCTGAACAAACTTCGGCAAACATTTGAAGTTCGTCTGGTTATGCGTGTCTAATAAAAAAAACAGGCACAAAACGCGTAATGTATCGAAACGAACTGAACTATACTAGGTGGTGTGTTGAACGACGCAGCACCAAAGGTAGTTCGTCCTGAGCGCATAATACGTCTCTGAGTGTAATGACAGACAACAGACAAAGAACGTTTGAACATGAGTTAGGGTGACGGTTTCATGCGATTTGGTTCTATGTGGATAAGGTCTTTCATTTCACTCTGTATAAATTCAAACGTATTTCGAGACACCCTAAACCTTTCTTAACCGCCTCCTGGTTAGCTCAGGTAATAGAGAGCCGGACTGTCGTGCAAATGATCTTAGGCTCAGGCTAAGGCTAGAGAAGAAAAAAAAAGTTTCTTTCACACAGGGTACCCGATACTGCTCTTAGTTGAGTGTTATTTATCCTAGTGAGTCCTCCCCAACCATCCTTAAAAAGCCAAGTTAATCGTTTTTAATCAACAGATGCTGAGCTTGGGAAATAAAAGTGTTTAAATGAAAAAATTTCAATGTTTTTCTTTGCGAATGATCCTTTCATGTTCCCCTTAAGGTTGGTACAACCTTTGGACCAAAGAAGATTATAATCCATCACGTTCTATGAATAAATAATTTTCGGAGGTGCAATTAATATTTTCAAGCAAATGTTGGGGTTTTATCCCGGGATTTGATGTGAGAGCTTTCATACCCCAGAGATTAAGCAGAAGCCCAGAATACTTTGAATTCGTGAATAAAGTTTTGAACCTAATAATCTGTGAAAATTTGAAAGAAACAGGTGGGATGACATCCTACACGGCTTATACAATTTGTACACAATGGTCGCGGCCTACGGCACAGGCGGGCCGAAGTTGGGATTACTTACTTATAATGTTTCAAGACGAGTACCCTGGCGGCTTTGCTAGTTTAATCAATCTTATTCCAGAAAGAAAACCACGAATTGCAGAAGATCAGAAGAAAAAGCATGTGTTATCGTGAGATTTGTTTCATACATTAACCAAAATGCAACCGTGGGATACTTTTTCCGTTTGAGTAAGCCATCATGAACTTATTGAATATGAAAGTAGTTTGAGTCAGAAAGAAGAAAAAAAATCATCCCTTTATATTCGGTCAAAAACAGAATACTACTTTCTTTCCATTATTTTAATAGCTTGTGATGAAATCTCTTTACTTGCATGGTCATTGGCCGGGTTAAATTAGATCTTAATAGCAGGTGCCGTCCTTAATTGTGTAAAATTTCGGCGTTTTCATGACGGACAGAAGACGATCTTTCAAGCGATAATACTTTTCATGAGTCCGTCGATGTTATTTGATGAGTATTTTGCGCTTTTAATATGCATTATATTGAAAGTATCAACGATGCAGCTGTCGACGGTAATTTTTCGAGAAATGAGAACTCTCACGAATGTGGGAAAGAAATAGGGATTGGAGTTTTGCACATTTTGTGTTAAATACTCTTTCCAGAAATTTTTTTCGGACTTAATGCTTTGATTGAACTAGTATGGCCCGAGCAAAAGTTGGCGACATTCGGGGATAAACGTTTTGCTACAACGATGGACGGAATTTCAGTTTTATCGCCCAGATATCTGTTAGGCGAAAACTAACGCGATTATCAAGAAATAATTTTCTCTTTAAAGCTTTCAAATTCTTCAGCCTTCCTCCATTTTTAGCAAACTTATCTTTTACATCGGAGTGCACATTTCCATAATTTCCAAGAATTCAAGACTCTGTGCCAACTTTGTAGGAAAAAAAGTCATCAACGCTAAAGCAAATTAACGCAAATTACCACTTTAGCGATGCTACCTGTGTCCCTTCGTTGACATATCTAAACGCCTCATTTTATTGTCATAGTTTTAAATGAAACGACAAGACATTTGATTCAAACGGAACAGCCTTAAAAGCCACACCGTTCATCAATTTATGTACTATCAATTTATCCAAATCTGCTTCAACTGTTATTTTTTCCTTGTTATAAATTTCGTTTTTTTTCTTTTCTTCGGAAATTCTTCAGAATTAGCCCTTTTGCCACAGTCTTGTCAGAATTGATATGTTGTTGAATTTTAATCGAATTGCACAAGTCGGTTATTTAAGTTTGTACCTCTCTCTTTTTCAGTAGTCGTGCTCGTGAAGCTTGTTCCATTTGAACTGATTCAATTGTCAATCTGGACTCCTGCAAAATGGCTCACTTACATAATTACAGAGCGATGTTTGCATTCTTTTCAGTTGTATCTTTGATATCTATAAGTGGATTCAAACAACGGGAACAGCAACACGCAGCCATCTAATTCTTGTTCCAGTCTAGGAGAAATTTCGACATTCCAACAACAATTTAGCCAGGAATGTCGAAAAAACTTTTACATATAGTTTCGTTTCGAAAGCACAGTTTTGTAACCATGGCCAAGCAAATATTTTCATACCCAGATAGAAAGAGCATACATTAGCCTAACATCAGTCGAAAGCATAAAATGAAACCAAGCTTGCGAAATAGCCTTGATGTGCCGACTGTGGAAGAAATTTGATATCAATGGCATCTTAGCAACGGGTGTTCTGCATGTGAATTTAGGATAGATGGATGTTTTTCCATCAAAGAATATCAGTATGATGAGAGTGTCTTAACAACCAGCCCGATGGCCTCAAAAACTTCCCTTTACCACTGATTAGTAGAAATAACTGTAAGACAACGCGGTAGCCTTTTTCCTGATTTCATTATCTTTATGATCAGAATTATTATCCTGGAGCCTACACGCCCCGTGACCTGCTGAGTGCGAGAAGTTGAATAAAACCATTAGCGTGTTATTGCTTTAAGTCCCAAGTGTTTAAAAGAAAGGCATCTTACGGTCAAAATTCAAAGGCTGAGGTAACAATCAGACCAGAGAGGAAGACAAGGGTGAGAAAATACTTTCGTCCGATTATTTATTTCAATGTTATCTGCTGTAGGTTGCCTTCCATTCTGTGAAAAATAATAACATTTAAGAATTTTTTCATGCTAACAGGCTACCAGTTTCGTGGAATATCGAGATTTAAATGCACGCAGTAAGTTTTTAGAACACGAGAGAGTTAGATTTTCCCGAGGCAAAATCGTTTCCGT